CTTTCCCTTTCTTTAGTTGCTCCTGAAATAGCAGTAGGTTCCCCTGTGATCCATGCCCTGGAAGGTCACCCCGTCTCACTGCCATGTGTGATCCTTGCTGGGAAGCCTCTTCCCGACCGCCAGTGGCTAAAAGACGGGCAGCCTGTGAGTCCTTGGTCTTCTCCATCTGAATTGCCTGGGTTGGGGCAGGGAGAGGGAACAAAGCTGAGTAACCCAAAGAGCAGCACAGTCCCTGTGTGCTGGAGGTGATGTGGGTTGACACCGCTGGCCGCGCAGCAGGTGTCATGTCAGTGTGATCTGCTATTCAGTCTTCCAGTATGCAGCCTTCAGCTACCTGAACAGCTCTCAGGGGTGGCAGATGACAGAACAAGGAGCAGTGTCGCACGGGAAGTTTAGGTTAGATATTAAGAAAGGCTTTCTCAGTAGGTGGGCAGTGAAGCACTGGAACAGGTTACCCAGAGAGGTTGTGGACTCTCCATTCTTGGAGGTTTTTAAGACCTGTATAGACAGAGTCTTGGCTGAGATGATCTAGTGGGAGATGGTCCTGCTTTGAGCAGGGGTTTAGACCGGATGTGACCTCCTGAGGTCCCTGCTAACCTGCATTTTCTATCTTTCTATGATCTCTGTTACAACTGCATGCTCCAAGGGAAAGGCAGGGAAGGGCTATAAGATTACCCAGGCCTTCCCCAGCTGTGAGCACTCCCCTTGGCTGAGAGAACGTGCAGCATCAGATACCCCTGACATTCAGCCTTTGCTTTCCCTTTCTTAACTGCATGCCCCCGCTACTTGTTCTGCCCCTCTCTGGCACTAAGTAGCTCCCCTCCCTCCTCCGTGGCAGGCACTGAGCTGTGGAGCTGCTGGGATGTTGCTCTTCATCATCACTGCCCCAAACCCCACCCCTTGTCCCATTTCCCTGATCCTTCCTGTTAATGATCCCACTCTTCTCTGCACTCCCTCCAGTGTCATTAGGAGCTGGTGCAAATTGCCCGGCTCTGCTGATACTGCCAGAGTGACACCAGTGTTCACCACGTAGGGAAGATCTGGCCAGAGGTATTTTCCCATGCGGAAGAGGAGGTGGGTGATGCTTGCCACACTGACGGCCCACCCTGAGGTGAGGTTTCTGTCCTCTTGCAGGTAACTCTGAGCAGCCCCTGGTCTGTGCGCACAGACGGTAGCTTCCACATAGACCAGGTTTCCCAGGAGGACTCTGGGAAATACACCTGTGAGGTCACGAACGCTGTGGGGTCCTACCGTCAGAACGTGTCTCTCAGCGTCCGCGGTGAGTGGTTTCAGTCTGGGGTGAAGCATTGCTCCCAGGGCTGCCGTGATACCGATGCAGCTGTGGAGGTTGTGCATGTGGGCAAGCACGGGGCAGCTGGTGGCCTCTGTGCCTTTGGGATCAGGTAGGGGTTTGCACCAAGCTGGAGGAGCAGTTCCTCTGTCTCCAAGCAGGAAAATGATGCTCCGATGAAGCTGGGTTTCCCTAGAGGTGCCAGTCCCCAGAACAATGTGTTGATTACAGAGTAGGAGAGGAGCGTTTCTGCTGCCTGGCAGCCTTGGGGTGGCTTAACCAGTCTGGACAAGGGAAATTCAGTTCAGGATGTGTGCTGTTCAGGATGCATGCCATCCAGACAGGCTGCAGACCCACACTTTAAACCTGCCAGCTGCAGCCCCAGGAAGCTAAAAACTGCAGAAAGAGCAGGCTGGGCTTTTCAACCAGGCCTTGGGGCTGCAGCTCCCAAGAGCAGAGGGTGGCACTTTGGCACTTCTGGCCAGATTTTTTGGAAGAGCCCTGGAAGCTCAGGACCCAGGCTGTGTTCAGCATGTGGCCCCTCACCCCTGCTTCAGGAAGTATCAAGCAATGAGACAGGTGCTTCTGTTGCCCACAGTGCCCCCCAGCATTGAGCCTGGTCCAGCCTTCTATACCACCAATGAAGGAGTGGCTGTTACTCTGCAGTGCAATTCCAGCGGTGTTCCCAGTCCCACCGTTGTCTGGACAAAGGTATGTTGGAGGGGGTCTGCTGTCAAAGGCAAGGGGAGCACGGAAAAGCTGTCTCTGTCTTGCAGGTAAATTTTATGCAGGACTCCGAGCCCTCTTGCTGCAATCAGGGTCTTGCCTTCGCTGGGAGATGGCGTAGCACTGTCAGACCATGGGTGGGCTGCCTCATGTTAGCTCATGTGATGCTAACTGCTTTGTGCGGAGAGGGGCTTGCATGTGCAACACTGGTGGGGATTACCCACGGGTCCCCACTGTGTGCTGAGTCACGTTGGAGCTCAGTGTAGTTTTCCAGGGTAGCCAAAAGCCAGAGAGGTTGGCTGGGAGTCAGGAGACAGGATAGATATGCACCTTTATAGACTAACCCGGTAAGATGCATATGCCTGACTCCTTGGGCGTTGGGGCACCCAGGTATTGCAGTACCAGCTGCTTGGGAAGAAATCAGCAAAGAGAAGGATGGAAAGCAACTTCTCCCTTGCATCCCCCCCGGCTCAGCATCTCCACCTGGGGATTCCTAGTTGCTTGATTCTGCTTTTATTCCAAAGGAAATGGAGTCCATCTCCTCCCAGAGCCCCCACCACCGTGTCGGCCACGACGGAAGCCTCCTCATCTCACTGCCCTCTGCCGGGGACTCGGGGGTCTACATCTGCACAGCAACCAACCTGGTGGGCTCCTCCAGCCAGGAAGTCCAGCTATCTGTCAATAGTGAGTCTTACGGCTGCGTGAAAACCCCTCCGGATGGCGGGCCACTTGCTTTGCTATCAGCAGAAGGCTGGGGGCAGAAGGGATGCCAGGACATCAACAATCTCCAGGAAAGCTGATAGGAATAGGGAGATTTGTCTCTGGTCTCACCCTTTTCCCAAGCCCTCTTACTCCTGGACAACAGGAGTCAGACCCCTCGTGTGTAATGGGTGTCCCCTTCCCTTCCCCACTGGCTTCTGAGCTGTTCTAAGGAGCCAAGTGCAAACCTGGTCTATCCATAGGGGCGATGCTGCAGCCTGGGACTCCTGCTACTTTGTTTAGGAAGAGTCTAGCTGGGACAGTGTAGCCCAGTGGGGAAGGCATGGGGCCAGGATTCGAGAGGCTGGGTGCCTTTATGACCTGTGTGAATTCTGCATGGCTGCAGCTGTTGCTTACAGCTAGTAAAGTGGGGGCCTGATCTTGGTTAGGGCTGCAGCAATAGCAGAAATAATGTGGGGGATGCTTGCTTAGAGCACGCTGCTGGGTAGGGCTGTAAAGAAGCAACTCCTTGAATGTCCACCTTGTGCTGGTGCTGAATGAACTGAGCTGGGGAAGAAGCCAAGAGCTTCCCAGCTCGGTGACCCCCATCTCCTTTTCCTCTCTCCATCCTGCCTGTTTAGCCAAGCCCAGTATTGGCATTAACCGATCCCAGGAGTCAACCGGGCCAGTAAGAGAACTAGCCGTGGTTGGGCAGGAGATGACACTGCCGTGTGAAGTTCAAGGGTATCCCCCACCGCTGGTCATGTGGACGCAGGGATCCCGGCCACTGCCTCTCCTCACAGCGAGGTAAGGAGCTGGCTCCACGCTGCTTTGGAAGGTGGAGAGCGAGGGGAGTCCAGCGTAGTTGTGGCTTATTGTGGGTAGCCCTGCTCCATAGGACATGATGTAGCTTCCACGAGATGAGCCATGTCCAGCCCTTGGTGTGAGCCTGATTGCAGTGGAGCTATACTTGGGGTGGGTTTGCTCATATACTATTGCCCTGGAAGAACATGAAGTGTAGCAGGCCCTTTCAGTAGACCCTTTCCTAGTGCTTGAGTTGCCTTCCTGGTCTGTGAGGGGATCAGGTCTAACTGATCATTCATAAGTGTTTCATGGGAGCGGGTATGTCTTGTGTTCAGAGCTGGAGAAGTAGGAGTTGTGGCAATGCTTTCACCCCAGGCTTTGACCCACAGTATGGCATTGGGCAAGTCATTTCCCCTGGATGTGCCTCAGTTTCCCTATCTGTAAAATCAGGATGAGGGTCCCTCTTGCACCAGGGTGGACAACAGACATTACTCAGTGTTCGCAGAACGCTGGAGACCCATGCGTATCTGGTCGAAGGCCCAGAACTGCAGCAGCTGGCTCGGACCAGTGACGCAGGACGCTGCGAATGGGAAGGTCCCGCCAGCCCCAGTTCTGTGCACAAGGAATGGCTTTCCTTGCTGGCAGCTGTGATTAACTGCACCTCTCCGGGGAAGCCTCTACCCCAGCACAATGAAACGCACCAGAATGATATCAGCCGCTGGCAGGACCCTTGAAAGAGATCAGAGTGAGCGCTTAGCTTCATCCCCATCAGCCCTTCATGCAAACAGCTGTCAGGAAGGAACATCTGCTCTCAAACCAAAGCATGCATCCCCCTCTGCCCCCCATGCATATGGGGGCTTAGTTTGCAAGCTTGGGTGTAGTGGGGGAGGGGTGGGCCTTTCATGTCCTGCTCCCCCGTCCCCAGCACATCTGGCTTTCCGTGCATTCTTGGCTGTCTTGGTCACTTGTTAAGGTAGGAAACAAAAGAAAAAGCCAAGAATATTTCTGGAGTAAGACAAGATTTGGAAAGACGTTGAGTGATGTGTTCTGAATGCAGCAAACCCCACCTCGGCGGGAGAGGAGGAGGCATGCCAATAGCCTGCGAAAGCGCCTTTTGCTGATGCTAAGCAGTGTCATGGAGACAGGTCTATGGTGTGCCTCATCTGTGCTAAACATATTTTATGGCTCTCTGTTGGGAGTGAATTAATGCGTGGTTGCCTTCTGGCCAAGTGGCCTTGGAAAGCCTCCTTTGTGCACTGTCTAGGTCACTCCTGTTCCTTGGTGCTGTTTTTCTTCTGTTTATCCGCTTGGCTCTGTCACAGCACAGAGGGGAAATGTGCTCTCCCCGGCTGTGGTTCCCAGCCATCTTCCATAGGCCCTTGTCTGGTCAAGCCCGGATAACTTTGTAAAGTCCTGAGCACGCAGTTACCACGCACCCACAGATAACAGAGACTGGAGCCTTACCATCACCCAGCTGCCCCTTAGTAGCTGTTCCTTTGCTGAACAAGTGGCGGAGGATCCCTGAATTTTATGTTGCCCAGGTTTTGCTATTTGCTGTGGGCTAAGGGCGAGTGCAGAGATGGTTACTGTGAGACAGGGGACATTGTGACTCCTGGTCATTGCAGGGCCAGGGGTAACTGGCTCAGGGAACTGTGGACCGTCTACAGGCTCATACCCCGACTCCTACCTGCCTTGATTCTTCCCCTGCCCCATAGGGTCACCGGCCCTAGTTTGGGACCTGTCACTGTGAAGACTAAACATGCAGATGAGCACTGTGGGCACCATTTGTAGGGGGTTACCCAGAGGGCAGCGCCAGCCTCAGGGTCCCACTGGGGCAGATGAGCCCCAAGCTAGAGCTCCTGTTGACTTCCATGACACCATGTCCTCTGCCCGTTTGCTGACCTGGTTCTGCTTCGGAAAATAAAAAATGAGCTGGGCGTGTGTCGACCTCAGTTGCGAAAAAGCCAGGCCAGGGTTTTTTTCTCTTGGCAATAGCTTTGGACCAAGTAGAGGCCTGGGTGTGTGGGCCCAGCTCCTTTGGAATAAGCAGAAGGAGGATTTGGATTCCTGTTTGGAATTTATTTAAGGACGGAAATGTCTGAGCTCACCTAGCTGCAAGGCGCATGGCGGTCAAGGAGCAGCCATGCAGGGGAGAAAGGAGGATGCAGGCACCCATGGTGTCTTTTGCCTTAGGTACTTAGGTGAGCCCAAGACTGTAGTACCCAACAGGCTTTAATGCCTCTACCTTCACAGCCCTTCTGGGAGGGTGAGCTGTGCTATTAGTCCCATTGCACAGATGGAGACCTGCAGCACAAGGGGAGGGAATTGGTAGCAGAGGCAAGATGTGAATCAAGGTCTCGTGAGTGCTGAGCTAGCCCCCTGGGCCATGCTTTTCCTCCAAAGGCAGTCAGTGTTGGTGCCTGGCTGGCGAGCAGAGCCCTGCAGCCCCCATGGCATCCTCTGTGCAGGCGTCAGCGAGCCTGAGCCCTGCATTCCTCACGCGCACCCTCACCCCCACGCGTTTCCCAGTCCTTTATTCTGGTTTCCCTTCCCAGCTTTGCAGCTGGCCTGAATTTTTATACTGGGCCAAACCAACGTCCTGGTTCCCAGCTTTGTAGCTGGGGCCGACTTTGATAATACTGAAATGATTTTTTTATCCAGCTGACAGCCACGTTATTACATGTATGTTGGGGAATCTCCACATGGACAGTTGCCTTTCTCCAGGGGGAGGAGATGGCGTGGTCTGGGGGGCGTAGGAGGAGAGGTTGGAGGGTCAGAGAGAAAGTTCAATGTAAAGAAAAATGCAGGGCCGACGAGTTTCGTAAAAAGGGAACGTCCTCTGAAATGCTTCCTGCTCTGGCCTGTGCCCTGGGGAGCTGCCAGCCGACTGGCTGTGCGGAGGCTAGAATAACTGTGGGCTATTTACCTGGCTGGCTGCGAGATGCTGTTTGGGCTTTGGGTAGTTCAGAGGACTGCTAGCACCAGGCTGATTTAGTCCCGTCTCCTGCATGGCTAGGCAGACATCTAGCCTCCTCTCTCCCTCCTGCCTCTCTGCATCTCCCTGGGTAGTATCTTCTCTTACCAAGTAATCTTCGCAGGCAGGAATTCCAAGGGTGATGAATTGCCACTGTCAGGTCAAGTACTGCTCTTCGCTGCTCCATAAAACAAACAGCATAAACCCCGTTTTTTAAGACTCATGTTCCTCCTGTCATCGTTTCCCCCCCCCCCCCCCATTAAGTTAATGATACTAATTACACAGATTCATCCCTGCTGTATCTACACTTTCTTCAATGAGATGATTTAGCTCTGGCATCCTATATGTTATGTCAGCTGCTATTGAAATGCAGCCACTGCTGGGGTGGAGTGCGGTAGCTGATGTTAAAGCAGCCCTAGGAACTTGCACTGTCACCGTTTCATGGTGGAAAACACCTTGATTTAACCTCTTCTCCCAAGGGACCTTTTCCCCTGCCTTTTCTGCCCCATCTCATCATTGCCCTCAGTTCCCCACAAGCCTTTTCCCCAGTCCTGGGGACAGCTGCCTCTCATCATTTGCATGGGTCACTTATGGGAGCCCACAGTGGGGCGTTTGCGGATGTGGGCTGGGATGATATCATGTCTGTAGGAGCCTGGACCAAGCCAGGTCAGCTGGTGGCAAGTGTGTGGTCAGCTCCAGCTGCGAAAGCTGATCTCTGTGGACCACTCCGCCACCATCAAGGGTGACCTTCAAAACGACCTGGCAGCTCTGCGGCGATGTCTCATTCTCCTGTCTCGGGTGGAACTTTCCTCCTGCCTCATTCGTGAAACTTTCCTACCAGAGAAAATAGCTTCTTGCTACCCAGGGCCCTGTCTCCTTGTCTCTGGCACACTAGCACGCACCATATACTAGCAGAGTTGCCTTCATTTTCTCTCTTAATGCTACAGGCTTGGGCTTTGTGGAAGGCTTCAGAGCCACTACTGCTGAGTTCCCTCGCTGGTTCTGACCAGGTTATAACTGGGTGGGCCTCTTTGTTCCTGGACAAGGGGTAAGACACGGCAGAGGTCTGCAGGGATGCACTGGGAAGAGCCCTGATTGGGAAGGCTCTGGTTCCCAGTTTGTTGCTCCTCCAGGCTGGAGATAGCTCATGGTCTATGTATGCGTGTGATTTTCTGAGTGGTTTAAGAGCTGTGCCTCTTCACACCATCCTGGGTTTTGAGCCCCTTGGGACAGAAGCTGTGTGCGGGCCATCCTGATGGTGGTCTTTAAACAATGTCTTGCTGGTGCTGTCGCTCGCTACCCTTAGACAGTGATGGTACATAGAGGGCTCCTCTGCTTGAGGTTTTTTCTGATTAAATATCCCCTGGTTCTGAGCTTCTGAGCAGCTCTATCTTCTCTGGATCCTCCCCCACCAGACAGGCTGCTCCCTGTGATTATTTATGTCGTTTGGCTGCTAAAAGAGAACGGCAGAGAGAAAAACACGCCTGTCCTCCTAGCTCTTGAAGGTTTTCCTGAAGGCTGTCATCCTGGCTGGCCTGTCCTCTCTCCATCTAGGTACAGCATCCTCCCTTCAGGCTCCCTCCGGCTGGCTGAGCCCAGGGTGACTGATGAAGGCCTTTATACTTGCACTGCTACAAACCCAGCTGGGAATGCCTCCCTGAGCTACCACCTGGAAGTCCAAGGTACCTGTATCAGCAGAGCTCTGCCTGATGCATCTCGGGGGCTGAAAAGTTTCTTGAGAAGGGGTGGAAAATTTTAGCAAAGGGGATCTCCCTGCCAGCAGGGACGGGGAGACAATTGCATTTCCACAGCAGGATCATTGATGCGTCCTAACTATAAACATCCAATAAGGAACAGGCGTCCCTTGAGGAGTCCAGAAGAGGCTGCTCCTGGTCAAGCCCAGAGCTAGTTATCCACTACTGTATCTTGGCTTGAAAGCCCTCGTCCCAGGATTTGAATCTTCTCCCGAGCCCATGAGGCGTGAGGCTTCTTGCAAGTTGGCTTTTCCAGCTTGAATGCATGTCCCCAAAAACACATCGGTTGCCCAATGCACAAACATTTTGCCTTGGAAAAAATGCTGATTTCATGCAGAATGCCTGTGCTCTCAGATATCCCTGTGTGGCATGGAAATAAAGAAAAAGGGACTGCCACCAAATGGGACCCAGGCTTATGTCTTGAGGGTGCTCCAATTTCTCTCCTGACCGAACCGTTTAATAATGTTCAGAGCGGAGAACAAGGGCTTGGGACTCCTGGCTTCTTTTTCTGGCCTCTCCACTAAATCATCAAGTGACCTGTGGTATGAAATTTCTCCTCGGTGTTGCCAGTGGTGTTAAAGATGCTGGTGCCCTCACAGAGATCAGGTGTCAATGAATGTAAGGACTTGAGGCACAGCCGACGGCTGCTCGCACTACTGTTCTCTCTTCTTAGCGTAAAGCCTTTTTATTCCAGTGCCTCCTCGAGTCCTCCCGGCCCCCAAGCTTTTGAGGGTGCTGTCGGGCCGCACGCTGGACCTGCCATGTGTGGCTCATGGTGACCCCGTGCCCACGCTCAGTTGGTTCAAGGATGGACGTTCCCTGAGGGTAGGTGACCGGGATTTCCTGGCGGGACCCGACGGGACGCTCAAATTTGCGGATGTGCGGGTCTCGGATTCCGGGCGATACCGCTGCATTGCGGCCAACGGCGCTGGGGAAGATGCCATTGAGTTCACAGTGGAAGTGATGGGTGAGTGCTGTCTCAGGGTCTTGGCACCTTGGTGAATGTATTGATAACCTTCACCATGACGGTGGACAGCGGGGATTGAATGAAGGCCCTTCACAAGTTAGGCTGCTGTTTTGACAGTCAGATGATCCTACCACCAAAGCCTGCAAGAGATTGTAGTGGGCACCAAGCAGGACACGGAGCCCACCACATCTGGTAGTGCAGGATTTGCATCTTTTCAGGTGCACTGAGTTTAAAGGCTCAGGGGCAGGTCTGGGAGGAGAGAGGTGTGTCCCCGAGTGTAGATTTAAGAGTGAATGGGCCCTGATTATTTAATGATCTTGTGTATTGAGAAGGGCCAATGCTGAGCCCTCCTCTGGCCTTAGGCCAGCAGGGTGGGTGGCAGCTGGCACTGCTTCCACACATTGGGGGTGAGCCCTCAGAGCCTCCTCCCCGCACAGAGGGAAGCCCAGACCAAGCTGCCCCCAGGATTGTGCCTCAGTCCTGACCCCAAACACCTGTGACCTTCCAGCTTTCACGTCCCTGCCACCTCTTTGTCTCATGCTGGTCCCTAGAGCAGCAGTTCCCAAACTCGGACAGATTGCACACCGCCAATTTAAAACAATACATCCTTAAGCACCACCAACAATTTTTCTTCTGTTCAACCTTAAGTACCACCAGCAAATTTTTGTCATATAAAGTCATTATAATAAATCTCTTAATGTGTAGCACCGGTGGTACCCGTACCACAGATTGGGAAACACTGCTCTAGAGGGTCCCTGCACCGTGACCCCTTGTCTGACAGCATAAAGGAAGGAGCTTGGGCCTGACAAAACTGGGGCTGAACGAGCCAGGGCAGCAAGCTTACGCTCAGTACCATTTCTGCCCCTTCCAGAGCTGCCCTACTTGGAAGACGGTGCGGATGTCCTGCTGGAGCGAGTGGTCCACGAGAATGTCACCCTGCCCTGCCCTGCCCAAGGTGAGACCCGCTCCTGCAGCGCGTGGGGCTGCTAGCACGCACGGCAGCACGGGCGAGGGGCGAAAGCACGGGGTGGGACCCAAGAGACTCGTCTGGACAGTGCCAGTGGTCCGCGCAGGTTGGGCCAAGGCAGCTCTCAGCTCTGTGCTGCCTAGCTTGCTACTCCTGGGACCGCCGGTGCTGCTGGCTTTCCTGCAGCGCCGCAGGGATGGAAGGAGCTGGGGTGTCTGCTGTACCAGGAGCACCACCTTGTGGCTATGCTACCGTGTTCATAGACACAGAGCAAAGGCCACCCGCCCGGTCCCTACCCCTGAGGGTTGGCGGAGGAAGTCCCCGGCCCACAAAGCCAGGAATTAGTGGTTTGGGCTGCCCCAAGCAGCTCTGATGGGAGCAGTTGGATCCGCTCGGCCGTGAGATGCTTGTGGCCTGCCACTGCTGAGCATTGGGGTACGGGCATACGTGACCGGCACATCTCCGCCTGGGTGTGAAATGGGACGTCTGCATGGGACCCCCACTTCCAGAATGGAGCAGCATTCATCTGTCTGCCGCCCCTTTGCTGTCACGTAGGGACGCCGAAACCAGTCATTGTTTGGCTCAAGAATGGTGCAGACGTCCTGAACACCTTGCCAGGTGCCTCGGTGCTGGAGGAGGGCTCCCTGGCGATCGACTCTGTCTTGACCAGTGACAGTGGGGACTACACGTGCCTGGTGACCAACGAGGTGGGCTCTGCGACCGGCAGAGTCAAGCTGGTGGTTTATGGTAAGATGGTGTCCTGTGGGTGGAAGAGACCCCAGGGCTGGGCAGGGGCAGCGCTGGGCTGTGAAGAGGCCCAGCAGTTGCACCTGAGCCTCCAAAGCTGGCTCGGGTTCCTGCAGACCAGTCGCTGCTGTCTGTGGCTGTCAAAGACAAACTCCTCCATTTGAGGTGAAGGCCGCGAGTGAGCCTAGGTGTGCCACCTGAACTCCGGCTACTCCGGACTGACCAAGTGGAGCTGCTAGGAATGACTCCTTGATTCCTACAGATTCCCACCCTGCCTGACCCAGCAGCCAGGGAAGCCTTTGAGATTGCCCAGGACCTCTGCGTTTGGGGCCTGAGCAGATCCGAGTAGCTGTGTCACTTAACAGGCAAAGAGCCCTCCACCATCCCCTCGCTTCTCTCCATACATCGTGGCCTGCAGCTGAAATGTGCCCAGGAGGTTTTTGCCAGCCCCAGGGGCTTTGGGTCACTGTGCCCTTCAGTTTGGCTGGCTGCCCATGCAGGGGCAGACCCGTAGTTCTGCCCTCAGGACGCACACTGGAATTGCACATAAGAAGCAGGTGTTGCCATGTGTTTTGCTTGGCATGTGCCAGGTCCTCCCATGGGCCAGCTCCACCTACATCTGCTTGTTCTTCTCATGGCATTGCTCTTCCCTCTAGCACCCCCTGAGATGAGAGGCAGCAGCCCTGAGGGGAACATCTCAGTCTTGGCCAACCAGACCCTGACTCTGGATTGTGATGTGTCTGGCACCCCTGCCCCTGCAGTCACGTGGTCCAAGGATGGGCAGCCAGTAAGTTGCAGAACAGCTCCTGGGGGGAATACTTTCAGCATCAGAGGTGCAGTCCTAGGTCTTGATTAGACAACGGCAGCAAAGCTCAGGGCCTGGGCATGTGATGTGCTGATACTGATGTCATTTAAATTGGATTTGTGCACTGATGTAAGCTACACTAGCCTCTGCAGTGGACAGGCAGCCAGCTTTCCTGGAGCGTCTGCAGCAGTTGGCATTATTACAGGTTCTCACCTACAAGTGGTGGAGGAATCAGTAATAAAAGCCTGCTTGTACTGAGCAGCTGCCATGGGAAAGAAGAGGACACAGAGCATCTGCACTGGTATAACTAACACGGATGTAGTTTTACCTTCACTTTTCAGGGGTATCTCTGCACCAGATTCCAGTAATGTGCATCCGTGTTGGGCCATGCATCATGTGTCTGCTCCTTGGTCGCACTGTTGCACGTGCAAGCTTTTGAGTGCTCTGTTGTGCACCTGGGCTGCAGGTAGTGGAGTTTAAGGCTGCTCCTGACTTCATCTTAGCTGTAGTGATTTACCCCTAGGTCACTGAGAGCGGCAGCCTCCGCTTCCTCCACGGAGCACAGTCCCTCAAGTTTCACAAGGTCCGGAAGGAGGACTCAGGCTCCTACACCTGCAGAGCAGTGAACAGAGCTGGGGAGGTGCAACGACGCTTCCATCTCCTTGTCCTTGGTGGGTCCTGGACCAGTGAAATCTGTTTGGGGTTGGTAAGGACGGGAACAACATATAACAGGTCAAGCCAGGGCTAAGGAGTCAGCATGTGGATACTCCTTTTGTGCTGCCTCAGCACAGACGGGTTGCAGTTGCTTTGGCAGTTGAAATTCCTCCTTAAAGTTAACAGATGTGCAGGGCATGGGTTGGCTCCACTGGGTTCAGTTGAGACTTTGGAGGAAGCAAGTGCAACTCCAGTGGCTTCAGGAGAGCTGCACAGACTCTGCACACCACGTAAATAACTGTGTGCTGCTCCTTGCTCATCCATGAAAGAAACTGAGACCATGATGTGTGAAATGTTAAACTGGGGAAACTCTGCTGGGCTGGGGTGCAGAGGAGCCCAGGAAGGGCTGCACTGCATTAAAGAAGCCCTTGATATTCCACGTTTATCTGCTTTCACTATGCAAAGCCTCCCCAAGGGATGCCATGGCATGGAGGGTCTCTCCAGAATGGACCGAGAAAGAGGATGCGAAACCCACAGCCATCTCTGTACATCTTCCCAATGTCACTATGCAGGGATAAATGGGTTTACCAGTCAAGTACCCCTTCCAGCCCCCAGTCACCACCATACCCATTCTTGACTGTGGTCTCCATAGCTTGACGGTCACTGAGCTTTCTTTCCACTCACTTCTCCTATGTCCCTTGTTCTTTGCTCCCCTAGTTCCACCTGTGGTGTCTGGATCAGGACCGCCCCACAATGTGTCGGTGCTGGAGGGCTCTGAGATGGTTTTACAATGTCAAGCCATGGGAGTGCCACCTCCCTTGGTCGAATGGATGAAGGATGGACAGTAAGTGAGCCATGGTGGCGGGTGCTGGGGCATACGGCTTCCTGAAATGAGCCAGGAGCTTGGGTTTAATGGTAGCTGCAAGGCCTAGTGGAGTTGGCGTTTAGGGAGTTATCCACGGCAGGGTGGGGGGACCTGGGCTGTGTGGAGCCCTAGAATATCCTTCAATGACAGAAGAAGCGTGTTAGGAAGTCCAGTGACATCTCCAACACATTCCTAATGGACCAGCACCCATTTCCTCAACATGGCCTTGCTGCATTGCCCTGGCTGTGGTTCCCCCTTAGGTATTTGTACTGCTTCTGTACCCCCAGGTCTTTCTCCCCAATGGACACTCGTATCCAGCTCTTGGAGGAGGGACATGTTCTGAGGATTGAGAACAGCCAACCTAGAGACCAAGGGAAGTACCAGTGTTTGGCGTTCAACCAGGCTGGCCAGCAAACCAAGGCTTTTCAAGTGCATGTTCAGAGTAAGTTCCCAATAGTGCAATAAGCTTCTTCAAACCCATCTGGCTCCGTTACAGGGACAGGCTTTCAAATAAAAGTGCTGTGTGCTGGCTCCTGTCCCAGACTTGTCCATAGGATTCTAGGAAAGTAGGTGGAAAGGACCTGTAACAGGGTGCATGGCTCAGGGACTGCAGCCCAGCTGCAGGCAGCTTGAAGGAGATAGATAGCCTGCCTGCCTAGGGAGACTGGGCCAGCTGACAGGGATGATTGGATGGTCCAGAGGAAGTTAAAAGCTCCCAGGGAAGGCAGAGATGCTGAGGCTACAGAACAGAGCTGGGGTTACTCTCTCAGGATCTGGGAAAGGACCGCAGGTTTTGGTTTAATTGTTTATTGTTTAAGTCCTTTTTGTTTGATGCTCTAAGTTGTTTCCTCGGGGGACTAGTTTGCCCCAGGGCAAATAAACCCCGTGTTGTGGAAAGTGACAACCTGCTACAGGGCCTCACAAGATCCTCTAGCCCAGTCCTCTACTCAAGGCAGGATTGTCCTAGACTAAACCATCCCAGCCAATTGTCTGCCTACCTGCTCTTTAAAATGACATGAATGTGAGGTTCTTGAGGGTAAGTTTGCTTGGCAGAGATGAGCCCTCTGTTGTGGACGAGTTGTGTGCTACCCTATCAGTGTGTGTAACGGGGCTTGGATTGTGCGCCTGTTGTCTCCATGTGCATGCTGACATGTATGTAAGGGCTGGGTGAGGAGTTTGTCATTGCTGCACCATAATAATCCATTGTCTGTCTTGGGGCAGTTGATTCTCTGTATTGATTCTTTCCTCTCCTTAGCCTGGTTTTGCAGGTGCTAATTGATGGCAATTAACTGGCTACATTAGCTAGCAACTGTGTATTGAGCTGGTCCTTGAGTGAATCATGCTTGATTGGTAACTGGTAACACAGCAACTTAGCAGCCAGGCCTGCAGTAGTGTCTCCCATGCCCCAAGACAGAGACAGTCAGTCCCACAAGCACCCATGGCACGAGTTTTGTCTGTCAGCAGCTAGGGGTGCAGGGTCCCAGACCCCCCCTGCACTGATCTCCTCGACAGCTGTCAGGAATCGTGGCCTCAGCAGGAGCCACCATCCCTGCAGCTGTCATCCTGCTGTGCCTTAGCACACGCAGTGTCACCCATGGCACGAGTTTTGCTTGTCCACAGCTTGAGGGACAGTTTCCCCCCAAACCTCTGCACTGATCTCCTTGAAACTTGGCAAGCTTTGTGGCCTCAGCATAGGTTACCCCCCCTGCAGTTTTCACCTCCCTATGTTGTAATGCCTAGACATGACATGAGTTTTGCTTTCAAGAATTTGGGGTGCAGTTCCCCCCAAACCCCTACACTGATCTTCTTGAAACTTGGGAGGCTTCATGCAGGTTTACTACCCCTGAAAATTTCATCCAAATCGGACAAAAAACAACAAAGTTATAGATATTGTATTGTTTCCCCATTATACCCTATGGCCAGATCTCCGAGGCGGCTCCGAACTGCTTCGGGAAGCCTAACGAGGCCAGCGCTTCGACCCAGATGTGCTGCTTCGGACCCTGAAGCATCTGAAGCTTCTCTGGATCTGAAGCTCTGTCTGAAGCCTCGCACAGCCCTACCAGATAGGGAAAGTCAAGCTGTCAGCTTAGTCATGTTCCTATACATGGCACGAATAGCTTGGCATCACCTGTTATATGGACCAGCCAAGACTTCCATGTGCCTGTGCCTTTCCTGTCCTTGTGGATGGGATTCATGCCAAGAAAAAAAAAGATGAGGAAGCTACTGCTGGATTTTTGATCCTGTGATGACAAAAGTTGTAGTTTGGAGATGCTCCCTTAGTTGACTACAGACATTAGGAATTGGGAGATAGTCCCTTAGTTAAAGCTAAACAGAGGGTCTGTAGAGGTTGCTGAGCGCTCCACAAATAAAGGTCGTTGTTTTGTTTTTCTCATTCACGTGTGCCTGTATTTAATGAACCTGATGATCACAAGAAATCCCACTCTGTCTAGTCCCTCCAGCAGAGGCAGCCCAGCCTCCCGAATGTTACAGCTCCCCCTCATTATATCACTACTTTCATTTGCATTTTAGCGCCTCCCACCATCTTGGGGTCCAACGAAACAGCAGATGTGGTGGTCCTGC